TATATATATACACACATATATATATATATATGTATATGTGTGTGTGTGTGTGTGTACAATAGGTCTATATAAATTGATATTGATGATAGTAATAATCATATATGATAGTAATAGGCCTAATTATGATAATGATCATAGTCATTCAGTTAAATTCAAACAGGTTTCTTTATTCATTTTATGATAATTATCCTACTAATGATACAAACATAAAAGTAAATGTATATATAGAGTGTCAACACAAACATCGAAACTACGATCAACAATGAGAAAAATCATTGCATACATTACATGACGATAAAGATAATGATGATAGTGATGATGATGATGATGATGATGATAATGATGATGGTGATGATGATGACAATTATAATGATGATGTTAATAATATTATGTTACTTGCTATTTAATCAAGTGAATCAAGCGAAGTAATTTTTTTTTTCATTTGTAAATGTGCTAACACTGTGGCTTCTCTGGTTCCCGTAGGTGCTTAAAGAGAACTTTGAGGGTGAAACTCCACTATCAGCCATCGCAAAGGTGAATCTATATGACTTTGTTGATCATTACTAAGACGATATAATTTAAAGCTCTGTTTGCACAATAAACTTTTCCTTGACAGCTTTTTGTAATTTTGCCTATGTAATGGTATGATGTCATAGCACACCCATTGAGCAAATCAACGGTAGTATTTGTTACATAAAAATTATATCATGAATTGCGCTTTATAATACATTGTTTAGTGCTGCTCAGGCCTACTGAACTTTTATAGCATATTATGCTCCCGTAAAGTTCCCAGAAGAGAGACTGTATGGAGCTATAATCCATTATAATCCCTGATCAGCACAGTGAGTCGAGGAAGTAATGGTCTATTACATAAATCTTAAATGAATGTAGTACAATGTTATTTTGTTGAGTCATGTACAATTTGCGTTTAAATGTATCATAAAGTTTCTAAGAAAATATCTTAGGCATCTATTTGTACAGACTTGAAATAATGAGGAACTAGAATACAATATATTTGGTTTAGGCTTATTATAAAGTGCCTTGTCAGGACAGGAACGAAGAACAGGGGTTATGTCAGTGGTGGTGGGAGCTCAGGCGTGAATGGCCATCTAGTACATGTGGTCCTAAGGGGGTGGGGTCCTATGTTCCGAATAGAGAGGGCTTCCCTAACTGTTGGGGTATGTCATGGAAGTTTTAGCCATTTTCATTTCTTCAGTATTAATATCACACTTGGTTCTAGATTTGGCTGCTGTCGGAGGGGTGGAGAGCTTGAGTGCACTCCAGGCGTGCAATGGCTGTGCGCTTTCATTCGGCAGTCCGCAGGGCTACCGACCCAAAGTGGTCCCGACGTACCGGTATACAACCCGACCCATAGGTCCTGAATACCGGTCGCCGAAACAGCATAACAGGGCTATATCTGATTCCGGTACCCAAATAAAGGTAGGAGAATAACCCATAACTTGCAGCGTCATTGTGCTGAATTGCGTATGGGCGTGGTCCGTGACTGCCTAGCTGCCGTAAATAGGCGCTTCATAGCAGATACATGTTCACATCATTCAACAACAAATGGACTATAAGCCTGATTTCAAACTATTTCACGAGGAGCTAAATGTTAACCTAAGTAAAATCGGCAAACCAACTATGTAGGCATAGGCCTAAACTCAGACAAAAAACTGAAATGCGAAATTACCAAGGCCAATCAGGGGCGGATTTAGAGGGGGCTTAACAGGCTTTAGCCCCCCCCCCCCTAAAATTTCATTGCCATTTCTTTTTAACTGCTTTTTGAAGGTCCAAACTAAAATATTGTTTAATGTTTTCTTCACACACATCATATTTATGGGCTAAACATTTTACAGTAGTTAAAAAAATAAAAATGAAATACGTTTTTTAACCGATCAGCGGACAAAAAACGTAGCTAAGAAACCAAAAACGCAATTGTTTAAACATTTTGTAACCATCTCAGAAACCCACTAGATCGATTTTATGGGTGCAACGACTATCAGAGGCTAAATTTATTGTGAAAACAATGTACTGAACGTTGTTGAAATTCGTAGCATGTATTACTATAAATATTGTTTAACATTTACGGAAATACATGTTGTTTAATGAATGAATAATTATTCAAATCCACTTGCTCTTGACAACAACAACTAGGCATCACTTATTAATTTTAATGGTGTCTACCATATATTTAATATTGGCCTAATAAGGATTAGGCCAATATTTTTACAAACTCAAAAGTGCACAATTTCTAATATAAACGATTTATTCTTTTTGTATATTATGACCCGTACGTATATACTAGTGTTTAATATTATCTACATACATAGGATTACTGTTTTTTTCTAATTTCACGGATATGATGTCTACCTATTTCGATTAAGTGATAAGCCTACACCTATTTCGATTAAGTTATAAGCCTACCAAAAGTTTACAAACTCCAGTGTTACGTTGACGCAGTCTCGCAATGACGCCATAATAATCAGTGGCAGATTCAAGTGGGGCCGAGCCGGCCCTAATTTTTTCAAAATTATTGTTTAAAAATGGAAAAAAAAAGACAACGGAAAATCAGAATTAGAATTTAGGTCTGAGAGTGCCATTTCCGGCAATCTAGAGGTGTCATAATCATAAATTTTCTTACCTTAGCCCCAACCATAGTGGGGCTGAGGTGGTAGTCCAGCTACACTCTCCATCTGTAAAAGTCCCTCTCTGGGCCCAGCTCTATTTCAAATTACTGGATCCGCCACTGGATATTTTGAAAATTTCGTATGGAAATAAATGTTAATTGCATTGCTTAAAATCAATTAATAGGCTATAGGCCTATGCGCCAGAGCTTCCGGGGCTTCGCCTCCTGGTCCCCAACCATTGCTTAGGCCTACGGCCCAAGGCTTTTCATCTCGCCCCCCCCCCCCACTTTCAGCCACGGATCGACGCCTTTGGGTCAGAGG